ATGTTGAAAGAAGAAGAAAGGGTAAATAAGGCAATTTTTTTTTAGAAGAAGAAGGAAAACGAGAAGAGCCCTCCCCTGCCACCTCCAAAAAAACTGATCAGAAGTAAAAATGAAGAACTGGGAAATAAAACTTAAGATTCCTCAAGCCCAACAGAACTCCAAGGAAAGCAGAAGAGCTGACAGGAAGTAGAAGGAAGGCAGCAGGTAGGTCCAGAAGCTAAGACCAATCCTGTTTCTAAGGGGCAGGAGAGGGGAGAAGAAGCTTGGAGAAATGGTTTCCCGGCCCCAAAGCAATGAAGCATTTTTCACTCCTGCTCCATGGTGAAAAGCTGCACAGATAAAGGACTTCATTTCTAAGAGACTTAAGAGAGCCAGCTTAGTTCTTCCAATTGTAAGGATGCACCAGATGCTTTTGGGGGCTCGTGGGTGCTAGAAAAGGAAGGAGAAAATACATGTGTGTTTCAGGGCCGTGGGAACTAAGGCTGCCCCTGAGACAGGAAGGGCATTACGGCCTAAGTGGAAGGACCTAAGCTGGCTCCTTCAGATTCTCAGCTTCATGGATTTCTCGGCTGCTCTGGGACAGAAGGAAGTCTGCAAGGCAAAAGGGCAGAAAGGTTCCCATCCTAGGTCACGGAGGCCTTTCCTGTCTGTCTTCTCCCAATTTTCCCAACAGTCTAGGCTGGAACAAGGAAGAGTTTAGAGTTTTCTCTTGTTTTGATGGCTTCCCAGAGACATCCTAAAACACCTGAAGAGGGAGGTGAGGAGAGGCGAGAGAGTTAGGAAGGACCCGCATCCTCTGGCAACGTGAGACAGTCGCGAGGGACCTTCGGTGGCAGTCATTCTCTGTCCATAGGAACAGGTGCCGTGATGTGAGGGGACCACAAGTGGGTCTCTGTGGTGATGGCTCTTAGTGGCATGTAGATTAAACCACCGGTTGCATGGGGGCTTGACATGGGCATAAGCATGGAGGGACTAAACTGAAGATACCGATAAAGAAGAAAGAGGGCCTGATGGGAGGTGGGGGCAGAACAGACTGTTTGGTGGGAACACACATTATCCCTCTTTACGGGGAGGTGGGAAAGACATGGTAATGGGTGGATCAAACTGAACGTGAACTCCAGGAAAGGAGAGAAAACTCCTCCCTCTCGCCGGACTCCTCTGCCCGCTCCTTGGCCTGTGCTGTCCGGAGATGCTCTCCAGTTGCTCCAGTTAGTTCTCCAGGAAAGGCAAGCCTATACCCAAGACCTAGGTGGGCAAGAATACAGGTGAAGAATCAGAGTTGGAGGAAGCTAGCAGTGGAGATTGGGCTTGAGTAGCTGCACCTGGAACTGTTCTCTACAGTCCTTCCCAAAAACCTCATAATTGCCTTGGATTCTGTTTAATTAAAAAGGTGAGAAGGCAAGTAAATCAGTCAAAACCCCCATAAAACAAGTATCTTGATGGAACAACCATCAATTAAAGTGAAAACTGCGGGGAGATACAGTGGCTGGGGCTGAGGTCATCTAAAAGCCAGAGAGGAAAAAAATGCGTGTGTCTAAATCAGAGGACAGGTATCAGAAACTGGTCCCTCCTCCAGTTTGGTCACGGCAGAGCCAAAGATGCAGGCAACCAGCGAAGGTTACGTGGAGGCCTCTGGAGCCTGGAATCTCCCCCACTCCATGGGGAGAGCTACCTACGCGGCCGAGGGAGGGGACCCTAGGCCTTGGAAGCGTCCCAGAGCCGAAGATGACGCTGCATCTCCACCTGCCTCTCCACCTCTGCCTGCTCAGCCAATAACACAGCTCCCACCTGGTGCCCAAGCGCTTGCCTTCGCCTTCTCACTCTACCTAGAAACACCTTCCACAAGGCCGACTCACGGGCACCGCAGTGTTTTTAACTATGAGAAACTCCGACCACATGAAACCACGAAGATGATGTTCCCTACTCCCTCCTGCTCTGAGCCTCACTCTCCCCCAGGAACCTTACCGTGACCCAACTGGAAAACTATTCCTCGGTTCCTGGGTTCACCGCCTTCTCCATCCCGGGGAGACGAGGAAGAGGGGGCCACGAACAGGGATGGGCCAAAAGCGGAAAAGGGAAGGGGCAGGAGGCAAAATGTTTTCTGAAAAAAATGAGGAGGAGGATGGAAAGTAAGTAGGTCACCGTTCTGCACCTGTAATACAAAGTGAAGAAAGTTTATTTTGGAAGGCGCATCCTAGGCGATCTGACCCCCCAAGCCCCGGAGTCGGGGAGAGAGGCCAGTGGCAACAGCTGCCTGGTGTTGGGAGCTGATGCACTAAAAAGGGCCGTGATGGAGCTGTCAGGGAGGGGACAGCCCTTGGGAGCCAGGCCTCAGTGCGCTGTTACCGCAGGGGCTGTGTGCTGAGTGGCGGGGTTAGACGCTATTCCTTAGCTCTCGTGCTAGCTGCATTCTTGTCTGCTGCTAGCCACCCCATCTGTTGCTACAACATCGGCTCTTGTTCTAGGACTGCTCATGGAGCTCCACACCTCGGCTTCCATTTGCTGCACCCCCTGGATTCTGGGGTTTGCTCTGGCAACTTCTTAGCCATTGCCAGGAAGGGATTGTTCACATTCAGAGCCGTCCTGGCCGAGGTCTCTGTAAACAGCAAACTCTTGTCCTCGGCGTATGTCTGGGCCTCTTCATTCTCCACCGTGCACTCGTTGACCAGGCCAGCTTTGCTCCTCGCCGGGGCAATAATGATACCAGGACTGTTCCTTTACCCATGTCTTCGCTCGAGCCAAAGTTTCCCGATTAGTCGTGTCACAAACCACAGTTGCATCTTGGCCACCTCTGTAGTACACAGGAGCTAAACTATGGGGTCGCTCCTGCCCACCTGTGTCCCAGATCTCAAACTTCACTGTGGTGTCACCCAAACAGACTGGGTGAGGAAGGCCCCTCGAATGGCGCTCTCCTGGTCACGGAAGTGCCCTTGGATGAAACCGAATACCAGGCTGGACTTCCCCACTGCAGGTTCGCCCAGCAGGACCCACTCGAACGGGCCTGTTTTGCGAGCCTGGCGCTGCCCATTGGGCCTGGTTGTGCGTTTGCTGGTCATGGCTAGATTATCAGAGCGGGAAAGTGTGGAGGGAAGGGGGTGTCACAAAGTGGCAAAAGGGAGAGGGGAGTGGAAGGGGGGGGACTTCCAGGCTTCAATAGTCCTGGGGCTCCAGCTCCCCCTTCCCCCGGGGCCCCCAGCCTGTGTCTGACAGCAGCCTGAGCTCAACCAAACCCTCCTGCCCCTCCTCCACATCTCACTGTCTTTGAAAGTCATTTCACTTGAGCTATAGGGATTTTAGTAGTTTTCCAGTTTCAAAATGAATTTCTAATTTTCTTCATATTGTTTTTGGAAATTTTCTACAACAGAAGGAAAAACATTGACTTTTGGGTACATCCTCTTATGTACTTTCTGATCTTGATTATTTTACTATCCTACACATGATGTGTTCCTCAGGCTTTTTTTTTTTTTATTATGATGACATTGGTCAATGAAATCCAGTAAGTTTCAAGTGTACAATTCAACGGTAAGGCATATATGTATATATTGCATTAAGTTCTCATGAATTATTGATTACATTTTTCTGTCCTCATACTTTAAAAAATTTTGACTTTACTGCCAGGGATATGACTCAGAATTATAAATCCCCCCCACCCCCCGCAAATCCACAGTTTATAGGGTACAATCCAAGGGTAAAATACGTAAATCGTATTTAGCGAAGATGAATCTGGGGAAGGTTTCCAGCTCTGAGAATGTAACTGTGCTCTGATTAGAAAGGGGACTACAAAATAGTTTACAATTCATTGGGATGGAGATGATTCTGTTTATCACTATTATGAAAGTTATCCTTCAAAGGGGAAATAGATGTAATCAAGGGAATCTGTAGTAATAGGGACAGAGATAAAATCTGAGTGCAGACTTGATATGTGAACTTGAAGACAGTTCCCTAATTTGAGAGGCCCAGCATATTCATCTTAATTCTATCCACATTTCCCTCTCTTCAATACTTCTAGCATAGAAACCATGACACCTCTCTCTCTCTCTCTCTCTCTGTCTCTCTCTCTGTCTCTCTCTCTCTCTCTCTCTCTCTCTCTCTCTCTCGTGTGTGTGTATCTGTCTGTGTCTCTGTCTCTCTCTCCTTAAGGTGTTTCTTATTCCACTTTCCTGGCTGGCTTATGTAATAATTACTTCTTACAAAGATGTTCTAATAGTTCTTATAATAGTGGAAGGGAATGTAGATCAGAGGTTGTCCTGTCATTTCCAGGATCTCATCTTAAATTACATTTCTTATTGTAGCGCCTTTCCTGCTGCCATGACGACCATGCAAGGAATAGAACAGACCACACCAAAGCATGTGTACCAGCTGGGGCAGCCTGCTGCTGTCCAATCCTACTTGTGGAAAGGGGTAATAGACAAGTTCCTGAAGGGGGAACCCAAAGTCCTTGGGGTAAGTCAATTGTGAATCTGGGAGAAGACCAGTCATGTTGTAAACTCACAACTGATCAGAGCCATAGCAAATACTTGGTCCCGTTAGCCTCATGATACGTTAGCCAGCCCTAGGGACATCAATATCTGATGTTCAGGCCCTTTCACTTGAAAAGGGATATAATATTTTATTATATCACGCTTCTAATCTAGTTGTATTAAATATATAATGACTTCAGAGCTATTCTAGGGTGGTGAGTCATTCATGATAACTGTATTTAATTCCAGCATGGAAGAGCAGCCAAAGAAAAGGCCATATGTACATGCGCTGGTGTCCCCTCCACAGACCCTCCTGAGAACTGGTGGCCCCGTATTGTTACTGTCTCTCTTTGGGGAATTTTCTTAGCTTGCTCCTCTGAGGATGAAAATATTCTACCTCCGTACATTTCTGTTTGGAGTCTCAGGTGGGTGGGCCTGAAGGAAATGGACATTTTAAAGGAAGACAGATTAGAACAGGTGGAAGGACAGTGCATACAGAGGTTGATCCCCAGCCCAAGCTTTAAACCAGTGGGACAAAGTCAGGACACTTTGAATCCTTTCTTAACGCCATGGGGTAATCGTACCCTGACTCCTTTAATTTTAGACCCCTGTACACACTCATGTCCTCAGACCTCAGACCCCACGCCCCAAGAAAATGTCATATTGCATTTCTCTTTTTCTTCCCCTGTAATACTCTCCTTTATTCAGATTACTTATCCTTGCTAGAATCCCTGCTCTCTCATTTCTGGATCACTGCTCTCTGTGTGCAAAAGAGAGCAACAGTCATAGATAGCAGCAGAGAACCTCTAGGTAGGTCCCGATGCATTCTTTTTACCTTGAAATTACTGGGGCAATTGGGAGAGATATCCTGAGAGATACTTTTAGTAAATTAATACATCCACAGTTCTTTATATGAAAGAAATAAAATTGCAAGGGAAATCAAGAAGAGCACCTGACTTTCAAAATATGGAGAACAAGGGTAATTCAGTGGTTGGAAAGGGAGTGGCTTGGGCATCATTTTTGTGGTAGATAATCGGCTTTAACTTTTTTTCTTTTTTTTAATCATTTTTAGGTCGTGCAGATCCTGATTGCCCTAATGAACCTCAGCTTGGGGCTAATAATTATGAGCGCCACGTTCCCACATTTTGCATATGCATACACACACCCCTTTTCAGTGTATACGGGGTATACAGTTTGGGGGTCAGTGATGGTGAGTAGAACATCTTCTGGTCTCGTTGGAAAATAATCTTTAGTTTCTTTTTTTTTTAGTAATATCTTATTAAATTTTAGTACCATATTAGGGTTATTTATATTAGGAATTTAGAAGCTTTATATTTCAGTGCCCTCGAACAGTTTAAATACCATTTCAGTTAGATATTTTCCCCTGTGAATTATCTGGTAGAATTTCTTTGTTGTTTTGGGGGAAAATGGGACAATTATTTACAAACTTTTATGTTCTTCCAATATAGCTGATCTGTTTAATGTATTTATGACATCTGAGAATAGATTTTGGTAAGCTATGACTTCAAATATTTGTTTAAAGTTTTTGACCTGCCTTTTCCTCCGTGTTACCAGTTTATTATTTCAGGGTCCTTGTCAATTGCAGCAGAAGCTAGAACATCAAAAGGCCTGGTGAGTAATATTTACTCCCTCTCTTTTTTGTTTCAAAAGAAGAAGGATTAACCAAGTACATATTCTGCCAGATTTTGTTTGTTGTCAAAAAATCAGGAGAGATTATAAGTTTTACTAAGTTGAATCGGTCTTTCAAAAATTATAATTTAAAAAATTGGCTGATCATCTCATTACTGACAAGCGCATGAATAGTTGCGGAAGGTAGCTGCTGAGAGAATCTTAATGAAAATACAGAATTCCTGAGAAGAAATATTAAATGGGTCAGTCAAACAAACCCTGTAGCTTGAGATCCAATTCATGGCAATGGTGACAAGTGTTGGTGTGGCTTATTATTTATGACTTATTGATTAAAGTTTCTATTCCAACTGTATGCAGAAAGGATTTTGATTCAGTTTGCAATGAAAGAAATTCATAGTAATCTATTAAATAAGAAGCAGCTAATTTAAAACATAACATTCACGCCAGTTTATCTTTCACAAAGTCAATGAAAGGCAAAAGCCCAGATCTCAACAAATGTTTTTCCTGGCTAAAGACCATATTTGCATTTTCTTTGCTCAAAGGATAAATGTCACACTGGAGCGTGACCAAGTCTACCTCGCCTCAGTCTGTCTCCCTAGCATCTCCTTCAGGTGTCACCGTTCAGATTGATCTTGTGCAACATCCACACTAAACCAACCTTTCATAGTTTCCTGAGGAATATTAGTTCTCATAAAAAGCCTCCATGACTTCATCGTGAGAAGAGACCATGGAAAAAGGAATACACAGCAAAGAGAGATAACATGCAAAAAAAGGCAGGGAGGCATGAGAGGCGAACGACATTTAGAAAATACTGAGATGCCGGGCACCTGAAGCAGAGCAAGGTAGAAGATGGACATAGGTAGGACGGCCCAGCTGAAGTGTGGAAGGTATTGAAAGCCCCGCTAAGTAGATTGGAGTTGATTGCACGTGCCTGTGGGAGTCATCCGAAGGATTCGAGCTTGGAAAAAACAAGATCATATTTGGTTTTTGGCAGGAGCTTAGAGTCGAAACTCCTCTAAGGAAAGAGACACGTTAGGAGAGTATTGTAATAATCAAGACAGAGAAGATGGACTGGGTTGGGCAGGAAGTGGTGGGTGTAAAGAGCTTAATGGAGACATATCTTGAGGACGTTGTTGGATTGTTTAATTGATTTTCTTTCATTTCTAGGTTCGATGTAGCCTGGGATTGAACATCACCAGCTCTGTCTTTGCTATAACAGGAATCATACTCACTGCCATCAGCGTGAGTGTTTTTTCATTCGGCTATAGTCACTGTGGATATGAAACGATGTTGGAGAATTGTTTCATGGTCAACTCTATTTTTATGGTGAGCGCTTCTTCTTTTCATGGAAGTCTGTGGTGAAAGCAAGTCAGAGGAGCCCTGACTCTGGCAGAGTAACAATCAGTATTCCCCTAACTGATGAGTCACGACATCTCATCTCAATTTGCTCCTCCTCCATATGTGATGAGGAAAAGTGGGAAGAAAGCTCATAGTTATAGAACACCTACCCTCTCATAGCGTGCTGGGCGTTTTGCATGTTTCCTGTTTAATTTCAGAGCACTGATAAGTACGTACCATTATCGGCTCTAAAAATGGAGCCCAGATGCCAGTCCCTAGATGTCCCCAGCGCTTCTTGATGGAGCCTGATGGACATACCTGGTTCTCTAATAATAAAGTAAAATTGTCTTGAACATTATCCGACAAGTGGCGAATAACATCTCTGGATGCGCTTGCAAGATTAAGCACTTTCGGCCTCAATATCTAGCTTCTGGCAAATTCTCAATCACTATTCTATATTTTACTACTTTTCCGTATCACTTTCCCTCATCTAAATGTTCTCCTCATTGCTTTATTCTCCACAGTACCACTTACACAAGATTTTGTAGGTAGTAAAACTTCTTTGGGCCATTGGGTAACTGTGTGGAGGAAAGATTATCACAGCACAATATAACAAACTAAAGTGAAATTATATTAAAAATTTTATTAAAAGTTCCATTAGTCATCCTCGACACCACTGAATTTTCGGTGATCTCCCCTCCATAGGACCTTTAGGCATTTCACTGTGCTGCTTATTAGTTCTTTCTCTCATTATCTCTTTTCCTCCTCTAAATTTGGAGACCCAACTTTCTGCCTTATCATGCAGATCAGTTGCATTGCCTTTTCTTCATTCCTAGCTAAGCCTTAGTAAATCTTTAGTGCTATATTTTCACACCAAAATATCCCCTTGAGCATCTTTGCTAAGCTAATTTACTCCCCTTGAGATTTCGAACAGTTCTCTTTTTAAACTTTTTTGGTTTTGTTTTTCCATTACAGTTGACATACAATATTATATTAGTTTCAGGTGTACGATATAGTGATTAGACATTTATATAACTTACGAAGTGATTGCCCCAATAAATCCAGTACCCATCTCACACCATGCATAGTTACTACAATATTACTGACTGTATTTCTTATGCTATACTTTATGCCCCCATGACTATTTTGTAAGTACCAAGTTGTATTTCTTAATCTCTTCCCTTTTTTCACCCAACCTCCCAATCCCTCTCCCATCTAACGACCGTCAATGTTCTCTGTATCTATGAGTTTCTTCCCGATTTGTTTGTTCGTTTCTTTTGTTCTTTAGATTCCACATATAAGTGAAACCATATGACATTTGTCTTTCTCTGTCTGACTTAGTCCACTCAGCACAGTACCTTTTAGTTCCATCCATGTTGTTACAGATGGTAAGATGCCACTCCTTTTTATGGCTGAGTAATATTACAGTGTATAAATGTACCACCTCTTTTGTATCCATTTATCCATTGATGGACACCCAGGTTGCCTCCATATCTTGGCTACTGCAAATAATACTGCGACGAACATATGGATTCATATGTTCCTTCAAAGTAATGTTTTAGATTTCTTTGGATAAATACCCAGAAGTGGGATTACTGGGTCCTTTTTTGTCTCTTGGTATAGCCTTTGTTTTAAAGTCTATTTTGTCTGGTGTAAGTATTGCTATGTCAGCTTTTTGTTTGTTTCTATTTTCATGAACTATCCTTTTCCATCCCTTTACCTTCAGTTTGTGTGTGTCTTTCCATCTGAAGGGAGTCTCTTGTAGGCAGTATATGTAAGGGTCTTATTTTCTTATCCATTCATCCACCCCATGTCTTTTGATTGAAGTATTTAGTCCATTACATTTAAAGTTCATAATATGTAGTTATTGTCGTTTATTTATTTTTTATTATTTTCTTCTTCTTCTTAAAGAAGTCCCTTTAATATTTTTGGTAATACTGGTTTAGTGGTTATGAACTCCTTTAGCTTTTTCTTGTCTGGAAAGCTCTTTATCTGTCCTTCAGTTGCTGGGTTGAGTAATCTTGGTTGGAGGTCTTTGCTTTTCATCATCACTTTGAATATTTTGTACCAACCCCTTCTGGCTTGAAAAGTTTCTGTTGAGAAGTCATCTGATAGTCTTATGGGAGCTCCCTTGTAGGCAACTAAATGCTTTTCTTTTGCTGTTTTTAAGATTCTTTGTCTTTAATTTTTAGCATTTTAATTATGATGTCGTGGTGTGGTTCTGTTTGGGTTCATCTCGTTTGGACTCTCTGTGCTTCCTAGATTTATATGTCTATTTTCCTTCACCAGTTTAGCGAAGTTTTCTGTCAGTATTTCTTCAAATAGGTTTTCAATTCCTTGCTCTCTCTCTTTTCCTCTGGTACCCCTCCCATGAGAATGTTGGTACGCTTGATGTTGTCTCCGAGACTCCCTAAGTATCATGTTTTTGGATTCTTTTTTCTTCGTGCGGTTCCGACTGGGTGTTTTCTGCTGTCTTATCTTCTAAATCACTGAATCGGTTCTGCTTCGTCTAACCTACTGTTGATTCCCTCTAATGTATTCTTTACTTCAGTTATTGTGTTCTTCGCTTCTGACTGGTTCTTTTTATGTTTTCTGTCTTCATCTTTATGTTTCCTCTTTGTTGAAGTTCTCGCTGAGATCACTGAGCATCCTTATAGCAAGTGTCTTGAACTCTCCATCTGGTCGATTACTTGTCTCCACTTTGTTTAGTTCTTTTTCTGGAGCTTTGTTCTATTCTTTCATGTGGGACATGTTTCTTTGTTCCACATTTTGACCATCTCCCTGTGTTTATTTCTATGTATCAGGTAGGGCTCCTAAGTCTCCTGGTCTTATTAGAGTGGCTTTATGTAGTAGGTATCCTGTGGGGCTCAGTGGCACAGTCTCCCTGGTCACTTGAACCAGGATTTGCAGGTGTGTCCCTTGTGTGAGTTGTGTGCCTTCCTGTTGTAGTTGTGCCTTGTTTGCTATTTGCACGTAGTGGGATGGATTGACCCTAAGGGTGATTGGTTGTGAGGACTGGTCGTGACTACAGTAGAGGAGCTGTTGTTCAGGGTTGACTCTACAGAGCAGGATTCACTTTAGCAGGGTTCTCGGGCCTGCCCAGTCTTCCCTTTGGGTGTGTCATCTTCGAAGGTGACTAGGAGGGTTCTCACCACAGGCTAAGTTCAGCTGCCACCTCGACCCTGCCCAAGGCCACCTGGCATGAGCCACAAAGTAATCCACAGATGGCCTCCGCCTGCACTGGGCTTGGAGGTGCCTGGGAGAGGTCAGGCCTCGAACTAAGCTGGCTTCTGCCAATGCCAATCTTGGGGCTGCTCAGCAAGATTTTAGGAAAATCTGCAGCATGAGCTGTGGAAAAGTCATTGGATTTTATTTGGGTGGGTGTATAATTTGGGTGGGGCAGGGTCTCAAGGAATCACCAGGGTAAGGCAATGTTAGCCAGGTTGATAGAGATTCAGATATGACACTTACAGGCTGGGAGAAGGGAGGACTCAACAAAGGAACAATGGCTTCTGCCAGTACTTCTGTCTGGGAGAAAGCTTCCCCTCCAGCCCTTGCCCTAAAGCCAGACAATTTAGTTCTTCCCCATATGTCCCCGGCACCTTGTGAGCTGCTGTCCCAGCACTGGAGCTCAGAGAAGATGAGTCCATCAGCAAGTAACTCTATGCATGGGCCCTTTAAGAGGAGTGCCTGGTACTCCAGAAGCCGTCTGTCTCACTCAGCCACAATCTTTACTAGTTTTCACAACCAGAAGTTATGGAGGCTTTTTTTTCTTGGCACTGGAACCCTAGACTGGGGACTCCGGTGCCTGGTACCCTTACTCCTCAGAGAGGACCTCTGCAGCGGAGATAGCCCTCTTGGTTTTTAACTGCCATATGAGGGTGTGAAACCAGCCCATTCCATATCTCTGTCCTTCCTACCAGTCTCAATCTGGCTCCTTCTGTATATCCTTAGTTGTAGGACTTGTGTTCAACTAAATGTCCAGCAATTCTCACTCATGGTTGTTCTGTAGTTTAGTTGTAATATTGAAGTGGTCGTGAGAAGAGATTGAGCACAGCATTTTGCTCAGATCAACATTTCTAATAGTTCCTATAGTAAGCAATTTTGTTTCCTGCTGCTCACTCAAAATATGAAGAGTATTTCTTCAGAGAATTAAAATTTTTTCCCCTGTGGTCACACAGTTTGAAGTTGGCAAAAGCAAGATTAGGTTTAGTAACTTCCTGCCTCTAGTTTTTCTATTATTCAATATTGTTCCATGTAGTTATCCTGAAGAATCTTACTTTCAAAATTTCCAAAATTTTCTCTACCCATAGACGTTAAGGGCACAAAGACAGGGACAAAATCTGAAACTGACCAGCTTCGTGGGTCTGGCTTCATGAACATTGGACCTTTGCAGTCACACAGGGCTTTTTAGTTAGAAGAGCCTATACTTGGTTTACTACTCCACTGTTATTATCTTGAAGTTCCTAATACTTTTTTAACAAGAGGCCCTGTAAATAATGTAGCTAGTCCTGCCTTTATCTCCATTACCTTCTCCCCAGAGGCAGCCACAAATTCCTATGTGTAAACATTTTTTTCTGCTTCTCCTTATAGCAGAGGACATCCATAAGGGCTCCCTAGGACGTGAAACATCAGGTCTGTTCCCACCTGGGCACTTGAATGGTCAGTCCACAGGTCTGTGAGCCCATGCTTTATGTCCAGCCCTAGGATTGGCCCCTATCTTCAGGAAGCTCCAATCTCTTGGGAAGGGAAATACGGAAATATTGTAAAGCAGTTAGAGTTGGACAAAGGCCCAAGAAATTATTTTTTAATATAATTATACAAAGAGGTTAGAAAAAAAATGAGTTCTTTGTAGGAAAGATAAAGTGCACACTACTTGGAATCATTAGGCAAAAATGTATGAAACTGCCAATGATCAACTCTACTTGATCTAGAAAGACAGTAGTTTCATATGGTTCAAACTAATATATTACCTTTGGCTACTTTTTGTTGGAAATCTAGCTTGGCGTCTGTTTTTTGGTCAATAAAGTTTTATTGGAACACAGCCATGCCCATTTGTGTGCATATTGCCTGTGGCTGCTTTTGTGTTACAACAGGAGAGTTGGGTATTTGCAACAGAGACCTTATGGCCTGCAGAACCTGAAACATATGCCATCTGGCCCCTCATAGAACGTTTGTCAATTCCTGGTCTACCTTACAAGATGGTAAGATCCTCGAAGTCAGAGAAATTGTCTGTTTTGTTTGCTGCTTTGTCTTCTGTCTCTACAACAATTCCTGAAACATAGATGCTACTGAATATATTGGAGAGACAAGATAAAGAAACCATGAATGCAAATATTCTCGAGGTCCACTTGAGTCTGCGTCACTCATTCCTGGGTTCCTGTACTATTGGCTCTTCCACAGCAGAGGTACTGTTGCCATCCAGAGAAAAAGAGAGAATATTTTAGACCGAAGAATTCGAGGTATCAATTCAGGCATCAAACTTGAATTTTTAGAAAGGAGTGTACACTCCAGTGTTTCTCAAATCTGACCGTGTGTTTTGGCTCAAAATTAGACCTAAAGCCAATCCTGGGGGAGCTGGACTAAAGACTAACTTGGCGTCTATTGTTGCAATAGTTTCTTATTGTTGTTGTAACAAATTACTACAAATTTAGTGACTTAAGACAACATAAACTTATTATCTTAGTGTTCTGAACGTCCAAAGTTTGGAATGGTTCTCACTGGGTTAAAATCTAAGTGTTGGCGAGGCTGTTTCCCTTTTGGAGTCTGTAAAACAGAATCAGTTTCCTTGTCTTTCCTGGCCTCTGAAGGAGGCCTACATTCCTGGGCTTGTCATCTCTTCTTCTTTCTTAAAAGCAAGCAGTGCAACATCTTCAAATCTTTCCTGGATTTTGATTCTTTTGCCTTCTGCTTTCGCTTATTAGGATCCTGTAATTACTTTTGGGACCTCCTAGATAATCCAGGATAATCTCTCCATCCCAAAGTTGGCTAATAAGCAAACTTAATTCCATCTACAAACTTAATTCTCCCAAATCTGCCGTGTAAGGACTTATTCACAGGTTCCAGAGATTAGGATGTGGACCTCTCTGGTCTCTTGTCGTTCTGCCTACAATTATTACTGCGTCTACAGTTACTAAGATATGAGACCACATTATTGTGTCAACTGTATAAAATCTCTAGTGTCTGAAAGAACCAAGTTGATAATTAACCTATGATCCCTTCTCCCCTTTCAAAGCATTTTCACATTCTGTATCTAAAACTGCACTGTAAATTAGAGGGTGTGAAAAATGATTACTTTATTAGTGGAAAACTTGAGACGATAAGTCACATTCAGCAGGCCAAGGATTGGACAAGGGCATGGCTATGATGAGGAGCCAGCTCTCCTGACCTCTGGGCAGTGCTTCTGTTTTGGCACTGTAATCAGAGGTCAATGTTTTGAACTTGTCATCTCTGTTCCTCACATTTCCTTGTTATGAATTTGCTCCTAGGGAATGGATGCTATAGTGCTCATTTTAAGTGTGCTGGAGTTCTGCATTTCTGTATCTCTGTCTGCCTTTGGGTGCAAAGTAACCTGTTGTAATCCTGGCGGGGTAAGTACTGGACTTCCCTCGAAGATGCCTATGTTAGTTTTCTATTGCCATGTAATAAATTCTACAAACTCAGAGGCTTAAAACAACACACATTTATTATCTCCTAGTTGCTGTGGGTCAAGAGTCTGGGGAGCTTAGCCAATTCCTCTTAGCCGATTCCTCTGCTCAGAGTCTCACTCATGGTCTCGGCTGAGGCCTCTGACCCTCTTCCATGCTCACATGGTAGATTTATTTCCTCTCAGTTGTGGGACTCATAACAACTTGTTTCTACAATGAGGCCAGAAGGAGAGTGGACATCTCTAGTGCTATAAGCCTCTTTTAAAGGGTTCACATGATTAGGCGAAGTTCATCCAGAATAATATCCTATTTGATAAACTCAGTCAACTGAGTAGTAACATACTTACAGGAGTAATACCCCATCATATACACAGGTCTCACCCATAGTCAAGCGGAAAGAATCACACAGGTGCGTGGGTCACCTGGTGTCATGTTAGAATACTGCCTACTACAGTGGATAAAGAAAAACTATTTTTCTCCATCCTTACTCCCTCAAAGGACCCCCTCTCTTAGTCTAGATCAAAGAATGCTTCACAATGGACAAGTTTCCAGAAAGTGCCATATTTTCCTTCATTATACTATTCCAGCAACCTTCCCTGGGCTACTGAAGAAAGTCAGGCTTTCAGAATTCTCTCTCAATGTGTGCACACCTGGCCACTCTCTACCTTGAGAACTGCAGCAGAGCCTCTTGCCTGCTAAGCAGAAGGAACGTCACAGAGAGAGGACTGGGAAACGGGAGGAGAGAAGAGACCAAGAAGCACTAGGAAGAATAGGACAAAGATGTCTTCCAAGAACTGAGGGTTCCAGGATGAGGAAACGGGTATCAAAACCCTAAAACACGTTCATTAGTTTTATTACCCAATGGCCCAGACAAAGCCCAAAGCCAAATCATAAAATAATAATCGTTTAATGAGGTTATTTGTCTGTGGGTACAGAGCTAGGGAGCGGGAACCCCAAAGAGCAATGGCTTCGGGCACATAATGTCTAAGACTTTATCTCTTCCTGGTTCTCCCATCCATCCCCTCCATTCACACTGAATTTGTAGAAGGACCAGCATTTTTCTTCGTTTTCTGATGATTCCTGCCATTCTGGATCAGTGTTTTTTTGCAGTGTTTTAGTCATGGCAGGCAAGTCCATGGTTTGGGGATGCTGTTGCCATTCGCGTAAACAACCTGGTTTGGAAGATGAACTCTTCATTTTCCAAAACGCCTTGGGCATCATCATCCACATGTAAGATCAGTCCACTTGCCCAGACCACAGCCACAGCTGTCGCCATCCCACGTTAAGAGCGATCACTGCGCATTTTTTCATAGAGGTAGCCCGATTGGGAGAATGCCTGAGAAACACCACCACACTGATTTCGAGACTCAATTCAGAGAAGAAGGGATCGGCTCTGATAGCGATGATATTGTGTAGACGGGAAACAGAAATCCGTGAGGTTGTTTGCTTGAGTAATCTATGGCGTTCTGATCAATTTCACAGGTTGTGATCATTATGCCATCAAATCCTCACATGGCAGAAGCAGCATCCCCTGCAGCATTTTAAAAGGTTCGACGCCACCCACAGACCAACAGGAAAATGTTCCGGAAAATCTATCCTGACAGTAATGCAAGAACCCCGCTTGGAAAATTACTAGAATCCAACTCTGATTTGGATCATTTATATTAAAATTCAGAATCATGTTCCTATTTTTCCCAGGGACTCAACAACTCATGTCACCGGCTCTTTATCAACAGTAGCAGAAGATAAAGAAATAAATGTAATAATTCAATAACACTTGAAAACTTTCATCCAACTTTAGGACTTTATGTAAGGACATCAAGGCGGAAAAATAAGGTTGGGCAGAAAAATGACAAAAAGATACTGGGAAAATGAGGCCTCCATGCAGACGACGTATTTCTGCCTCCCAGGCCAACCCCTCCCCCCCCACCTGTCTGACTCTTCCTAATTTTGAGAATGCGGAGTGTTCTTACCTTCGTAAAGTTAAGATGTATGGCTTTTTCCTTGCTTTCCTCTCTCTGCTTTCCTTCTCCCAGAGAAAATACCTTTAAATAGTGCAGTCAGGCCTTGTATGTGCACAAATCATTATTTGAGAGTAAGTTCACATAGAGTAAAAATCATCTCGTGGATCAGATTCAACTTCTATTTTCTTTCCCTCTGTCTTCACCTTCC